CACAAACACAAAGAAAATGTGAAAGGAGAAAAGAACAACCAACTTTCAGATGCTGGATAAAAAGTGGAAACTGACTAAACCTGAGAAATATGAACTTATGCCAGTAGCACAGAAGAGGCAAAAATTTGCACAGAAGGGTAGTCAGTTGAAAATCGATTTGATAATCTTCACAAAAGGAAGTTAGACCCTCAAATGCTATGTGTCATACCTTGCACCTGATTAAAGAATGGATACAGAACACACGTTTCAAAACAAAAGTTTATGACTGGAGGAGATGGGAATTTCTTAGCTATGTAAAAACAGAGAAATTAATTATATAAGAAAAAGGCAACTTTTAATATTTTGGAAAATAAAAATTGGTTTTGATAAGCATGTAGAAACTCTCCCTTTTAAAACTATTATCTCAATAATATTGATTAATTTAATACCTATCATCAAACATTATAATAAGCTATTTCTTCTTAGTATTTAAAAGTAAAGTTAGGTGCAGGATCAAGTGAGCAAATAGATCTTATTTTGAAAACCAACATGATAAGGATATAGATTTTTAGGTGCAAAAATAATTTAAGCCCAATATTAAAATTATCCTGTCAACATGATAGCTTCCAAAGATGGGTACATGTTACAAAGTTACAAGCTACTTTAACCCACTTTTTCCCTATTTTTATGCTCATGTAATTATACTTTATATAGAAACAATTATGTGCCCACACATGAATTTGGTTAAAAGATCAGAGTGAAGGCATATTATACAATATTAAGGGTAATTCTTTATTTCTAGATTTTTTCTCTTCCAAAAATTAGCAGGTTTCTCTCTATTTTTCCTTGAATATTATTTTAATATACTCTGGTTTTTATAATTTGCATTTGTTATTGATATGAAAAGATTAATTAGGAATTTGTTCTTAAATATTAGAAAGTACTTTAAAAAGCATTTTCACTGGAAATTCTTTAATTCACATTTTTAAATCATTTTGTATGTTTCAAGATGTACTTAAACTTTAAGAGCAGAGGTGAAATAATTAGCTGATTAGTTTGTGATATATGAAATAATGGAGTAATATTTTCTTCTTTTTTCATGAGAAAAAATAATAAAAAACAATGAAACAAAGCTTCATAAAATAAACATAGAACTTATACAGTAAATCAGAAATCATGGGTTTTGGTCACAACTAGATGAACTGTTTGTATAATTAATACCCAGTCTCTCTGACCTTTTTTCTTTGACACTATGGGGAAGTTGACTAAATAACCTTTAAGTTGTTCTCTTCAGTGTTAAGCTTCAGTAATTCTGAGATTAATATTTCTCATAGTACTAACTAACATACAGGACAGTCTTCATTATCTCACATCAATTATCTATTTTGTGGTTGTTGTCCTATTGGTTTCTCTGTGGTGATATATTTTCAGTAAATGTAAGCTAACTGAATTGTTATTATAGTTAAGTCCTTGACAATATATAAACACTCATCCAAATGTACATATTATGTATTTTTAAGTCTCAGTATAAATAAATTAGTATTATTTCATGCCTTAAATATTTACATCACTTTCTCATCTTGATGTAAATATTGATGTAAATACTTACATCATCTTCTCATGTACCCATTAACTTTCACACAATTCCATTAAACTATCATTTCTGAGCATCAATCTGTGAAACACACACACGCAAACACATGCACACATGCACACACAAATCAGCTGCTAGGGTGGGAAGTTACACACAGTGCAAGGGCACAAGGAGAGAGAACCAAATAAATACAGTGAGGAGATGGGAATTCAAATCACAATATGAGCCTGCCCTGGATCTGATGGGCACCAGGAATGAACACCCACAACAAATACTCCTGATAAGCAAAGGCATGAAGGTGGAAAGGTTCAAGGTCTGTCTGATGACTGAAAAATAAATCCATTTGTGCAGTGTGGGCCAGTCAAAGCCAAATGCAACACTGCCAGGTTAGGCTGGGATCAAATTGTGGAGCCAGATCAGTTTATGGATGCCAAGTTAAGGGTTTGATTTTGCATATTACTCAGTAAGGAGCTATCAAAAGAACACTTATCCCCAGTCAGAAGAGAAATAGGAAAGAATAGACTAAATGTTGGCAAATTTTAGGTAACGTGAGAGGTAGGCACAAGAATTTAAACTTTATATGTGAGAGGATGATTAAGCTGTCAGGTGTTTGAAAAAAGAAAGCCTCCAAATGAACTTTTAACTAAAAGAAGTTGATGACCAGAGGAACACTGAAGACTGGTTGAGGTTAATCCATAGAATTATATTTAGATAGCTTTATAAATCTCTACAACCTCAGTATAGGAGCAAATATATTGCATGCCTGAAACTAAGTAGGAAAGAATGGTTGGCCTCGTAGACTATGGGGTCGGTCTCTGTTTGACAGAATAGGAGGCAAAAAAAGCCACAGGCAAATTCAGAAGAGTGAAATGATTAAGAGATAAGAATTCTAAACTTTTGTTTCACCTCACAGACAATTATGTAGACTAAAATACATGAAGAAATTTAAGTGAGCAAATATTAGTTCATTTAATTCTCATAGCAAGCATATGAGAGATATTTTGATTACAATTTTACAGATGTGGAAACTGAAGTGTAATGTGTTATTTTTGTTTGTTTGTTTTTTAATATGCCCACGTCACTCAAATGGGAAGTATCAATGCTATGATGCATGTGATTAGGGAAATCAAGACCCAAATTGAGCCTTGACCTGCAAAAGTTAATTATTTTAGGTGCTTCATCATATCTATTTCTGTGTTCATTTTAATTATTTTTCTTCTTTTGTTTCCTCTAGTTTATATTATATTTAATAAGTCATAACTATTTTGGAAATAAATACCTATTAAGAACCATTTAATTTCTTTAAAGTCTTACTAAAAATTTTTTAAAATCTGTAATTATAAAAGAATGCACGAATGTTAGAAATGTATCAATCTGCAATTATAGCAAAATTAAAATGTATAGAACTGAACATTGTTAAGAAAGTGGGTGAGGGGAATGGATTTTGATTTAATTGATGTAGGAAAGGGCCAGGCATTGGCCTTTAAAATTAAATATAAGTTCCAGGTAATCAAGGACGACCTTAAGGTCCTCCAAAGGAGAGGAGAGGAGAGAAGAGATAGCTGGGACACAGGGATGCCTTAATGTGCTTCTGAGGTTGAAATTCATTCACCTTGAAGATTCCAGCAAAAATCACAGTAATAGTGCCAGGCCATAACAAGTCTGCCTATGGAAAGAGTCTGAAGAAATGTTTAAGAAAAAAAAGGAATACAACTAAATCTTGTGAAAGCTTAAAAAAGAGTTTGAAAATACACAGACAGAATGGAGGGAAGGGGGTTGGTAACACTTGAGGCAGGTAGTAGAAGGTCAGGTTTGACCTGATTCACCAAGTGTTTTTGAATGACCTGTGGGTAAGCGTTCCGTCTGTAATTGTGGACAAAGCCAGTTGTTCATTCACAGGCAAAAATTGAGAACTTGAAAGCATGCCTCTTAGGAATTCTAGCTTTAAAAGATACTTCTCATTGACCTAAAATAATTAAGCTGCTACACAAAGACCACATTGGGGAGGCAGGATGGTGCCTTCATTCAGTCTCAGAGCTGGGAAAAAAATGCCTTTGTATTTCCAAAATCATCACTAACATGGTCCTGATAACACCTGAGCAAACTTTTTCTCTGGCTGTAACTTCAATAGAAATTCACTGAACATTAATATTTATTTTGGAAGGAGAGAGATTTCTGTAAGTTCTTAGGAATACAAATAAATCTTGAAATGCAAATATTCAACATTTAGGAATGATAAATATTTATTTAAAGAGTAATGTCAATACATCTTATTCATAAGCAGATGTGACCTGAATAATCGTATTATAGAAAATTCTTTACTAGTGAGAAAAATTTCATCAATAGTTTACTATTAAGTTTAATTAAACATACTTCCTAATTATAATTCTGAGACATGACAATGTATTGGCTTTAGAAATGTCACATTTAGGATTCATTACCTTCACTATCATTTCAGCAGCCAATTTTTTAAATTCATTTTAATAATAGCCAATATAATCAAGTTAATCAGATTGCTGAACAAACCACCAGTTCTAGAGTTAGCAAGGGCTATGGAGACAGAATAGATTGCTAAATAAATGATCATCTTGGCTCACGAGTTAATGTTTAAAAACCATTTTCTTGTATTGCAATGAGTACTGTTTGCCACCAGAGAGAGCTCAATGACTATATTTTATAAGTGAGAGCAATTTTTTTTTCCTTTCAATTAGACAGAAATCCTCTATTGGAAATTCCTGCTACATCATAAAAGAAGCAAACAGTAGCTATTATTTAATTATTGATAATATCCAGAGTCAGCTTCTATAAATGAAACTCTCATGTTCGATATTTAAGAAATCATTTGTTCCTGTCAAAGAAAGTGGAAAAAGGACTCATGGACATGGACAGTAGTGTGGTGATTGCTGGGGGCAGCGGGGGAGGCATTAAGGGACTAAATAGTAATGAAAAAAAAATACAATATAGATTAATTTTTTTTTTAAAAGAGAAAGTGTTAGGGCAAAACTTTTAAGAAAGATTTTCAAGGGAGAAAGGCTTGTGCTGTAATGCGAACCCTCTTGCTGACTAACAGAAAGACTTCCTCATGTCCTAGAAATATTTTGTTCCTTTTTCAAAATAATTCAAAGTATACTTTCCAATATCATCTTGTTATCAAACTTAGCAACATTTTTTTAAAAAAGCCATTTATTAGACAAACATGTTCAAGAAATACTGGATAATAGATTAAATTTGATGAATTGCCTGAAATCAATCAATATTATTAATATACTTTGATTTTTCAATTGCAGTAATTTTTATTATGCACCAAGATCCCTTTATTTAAGGAAAATTGAGATAATCATAGTAGATACAGTTTTAAGTTAATCAATTTTCAGTCCCTTTCCCTAACCCCAAACTGTGATGAGGAATGAAACACAGAGACACATACACTCCAGTTTGTCCTCAGGTCGTCCTCTTTCCAGGAGGGACAGGTAACAGACGATGTCCTTCAGATGGATTACTTCAGGGGAACACGTGTTTGCAGGGGAAGTACGAGGGGGTGTGATGGCGCCTTTGTTCATTCTCAGACCTGAAACAAAAATACTTGTCTTTATATTCTGAAAAGTATTCAGTGTTTAAAAAATAAAACAACAACAACAACAAATAGGGAGTTAAGCACAGCCCGTGCAGAGAGCTGGATATTTCCATAGGATGACCAAACTTTCGGAGCGCCAGTGCAGCAGAGTCAGACATCCTGTACGGACTGTTGTGAACAATGCAGTTTCTGGCTTTTGATGACAGAGGACCACTCTGGCTGCCTAATGCAGAGTTTTAGGATCAGGGCCCCATTGCACAGGCTGAGTCCGCAGGCAGATTTGAACATACCAGGAACCACTTCCCTATTCCACCTGTCTCTGCTTTAGGCAGCCACAGCTATAAATCAGCTGGGAAGATACATAAAATTGGCTGTTTATTAAAAAAAGAAAAACTGAGAAAGAACTTTGGGTCTGTCACAACATGATTTATTCAGGGCTCATTCATTCATAAAAATATTTATGCCATATATTTGCCAGCACCATGAATAAGACATCCTTTTTGCTGTCAAGGAATCTGCCCATAAGAGTGAAAGGGACAGAAACAAAAATCTGGATATCTGGACAGGCATTTCGGTAGAGAGCTAACAACACACGACTGAAGTTTATTTTATACGGCCCACACTTACTCTCTAAAATTCATTCACTGTGCTTATTCCAAGACAAGGGTCGAGAACTTTAATGTTCACAACAGTTGATGATTGCATATTATCTGTCTGGTGATAATCAAACTGTAACTTGTTCTCAATAAATGGTACCTTCCATCTTATACAGAAGCCTCTGAAACCAGATCGCATGTACCGGATAAGACCTGAAGGAAAACCCCAATTATCCTTTGAGGTAGATCTGGCAACCTCACAGGTGTTCGGATGAGCTTGCTAATGGGCTGAATGCCTACCATGTTCCTAATCAACCAGGAGTCACTTGAATAGACCAAATAATCCCAACCAAATACAGTTCTACAAGCTGGCCATTCCTTAGTGCTCATCTACCTGATCACGCCCTTGCCCTGTTCTACTCCCTTTGATGTATATTTCAGATTCAACAACTATTATCTCTTCCATTCATCTCAAGATAGCCAGCAGATTACTTAATGCATTACTAACAGTTATGAATTAGTTTTATCATTGGCAATGCTATTGCTAAGAAAAGGTACCACTTATTGAATAGGTAATATGTAGCAGGATATGCTGAGGACTTTAGCGGTGTCCTCTCACTTAACTTTCAGATTAACCCTGTGATGTAGACTGTATGACTCCCATTTCACAGATGAGAAACAAGCTTACAGGAGCTAATTTCCCAGAGATTCAGAGCTAGGAACCCATCCTCTTTTTCTCTACAGTAATGGTTTACAGACTATTGATTCAATACTGATAGAGGAAGAAAAAAAATTTGCACTTTTATCCAGGATGATTCTTTTATACAAACATGCATATCATTAATTAGTAGGTTTCATAACTGAACTAATATTTTCCTTTCTAAAGTATCCTATTTCTTTTCTTCTATTCTATTTCATTCTTAAAATTCTATCAAAGACTCTCTAAATTGAATGCATTATCCACTAATGTATCCCTACCCACAGTTTGAAAAATACTGCTTTATATCCTTCCTTCATTTTCTTTACTGAAGTTTTATTTATTTCAAAAACTTCTCTATGGTCCATATTTATTTTACTTCTTTTTATAGTTATTGAAATACATATGAATATTTAAGAAATGATTTTCTTTCTTAACAGAAGAGTCACAGTATATCTAATACAAAGTAATATAGTTAGTTTATAAATCAAAAAAAGGGCAAAGAGTTTAAGACAATCTTGAACTTGACAAAATAATCACCTTACTATTTCTAATTGACAAACTAAAGTTCGCCAGCTTCAGGAACAAGCAGTTTCAACTTATGATAAAAGACAATTTGGCACTGACCGTAGACATACCTATAACTTCCAGCCTTGGGGAACAGAGCCCTTGAATTATGGTTGGATAAACCATGATCTAACTCACCCTGACCGATGAGCTAATCCTCTCTTCCTATCTTCCCCCTTATGGTACTGAAATGATTTAATCAGCTTGTTTTAAATCTTTTATACAAAAGATTTGTATTCAAAATAAATCTAGAAAGAATAAAAAGAACACACAACATTCGTTTGAAAGAATGCCAAATGTATTATACGTTTCACTTACTTAGAACACTTGATGATCATTTGTTTGTACTCGTAAAATGAAGGTGCATGGTATTCCACTATAAGCTTTCATAATACTGAATATAAACAATAGGAGAGTGTGAATCTTCTGTTTGGCTTTCCTGTATGTAATTTATATACATATGGAACATGAACATACATATATAATTTATATTTAGCCCCAACCTTTTGAGAAAACCTGTTACTGTACTAAAATTCATTTTGACAAAATGAGTAAATACTTCTCATTTTCTGTTCATGACATGTTCTAAACTAAAAGCTGCATTATGTATTTAATTGTCATAATTTCACATTTTAAAAAAGTTATAAGTACATAAACAGAATTATGAGCATATACAAAAATACAAGCTGAAGAACAAATCAAATCTTTGTCAACTCCAATTATACCAAATTTGAGAGGTAAAATATATATTTTGCAATGAATTATGGGGTGCAATCAAGAAAAAAGTTGCACTGTCTAAGACCTTTCCACGACTACTTTACCACAAAGTGATTTGTAGAGCTGGACTGTGCTACATCTCAGGTGTGGAACTGACGAAAAAGCTCACTGGTTTGTCCTGCTCCAGCCCACTCCCTAAGATGAGAAGGTGGGAGATCAGCCCACCTTCTCTTATGTGGTGAAGATGTTTCTAAATAGTTTCACTGAATTTTCTGTGAGTATGTCCTGGGCCTCAATCTGTCTTCATAGAGAATGTTTTTTACACCCCGCTCTACCATTTATCATTTCTTTCCATTCCCTAAACCTGGCTGGAGGTCTTTTCCACTATGTATCTCCCATCCTCGTCTTTGACACTCCACTGCCCCGAAGACAAGTCATTTTCCTTTTAAGCAGACTGCACTAAATATTACCCGGAACACACACAGGAAACAAAGTACACAGCAAACAAGGCCTTGCCAGCCTGGTTCCCTGCCTGCAGCTCTTCAATGAGACAGTAAATGGATCCTGCACTCCCCTTTAGCAGCAAAGGGAGGAGGCTCCAAAATCTACCCCCCATTAACAAATTCCATTTTAACCCATTCAGTTGTGGGTGAAATTCACTCCTTACATTTGGAACTGAATGTGAAGCTAGGCAAAACAAAAACTATGTTTCTTTTGCCTCAAGTGGTCAATATTTAGCTCTGAAGATCATTCAATTGACGGACACCCACTTAGCATGTTCTCTGACCTGCCTAAGGTTATGCTCTTTAAATATTTTTAACAAAAGTGAAGCAAATATACACACACACACTGTTTACGTCCACATATACGTGGATGTCTGAATGTATACATTCGTGTATTTGCGGTGCACGAGAAAGTGCTGAATAAAGCAGACAATAAGCACTGTATTTAGAGTGTATGTCTTATTAGGAAAAAGGATCTTGGGCTTTGAGTTTTTTTCTGTTTTTATGATGATTTTAGTACATACACTGAAATATATACTTATGTGTAAACATTCTTTTCTTTTCAATGTTTAACTATAAAAAATAGTCCAATTGAACGCTACCTACTATTATATCCTTTAAGCACATGCATTTCATTTTATCCCAATCTAGACACTCTATTTCTGGAAACAATAACCTGGAAAGGTTTGTTCTAAGAGATAGTCTTAATTCCAGTCTCAAGGTTCAATTATTAGTGAATAAGTTTGGGGTACAGGTTCAACTACTGCCTCTGCTCCAGTTTTCCTTTCAAACACAAGCATTTCAGATCACGAAAACACTAGCATCTTATCCAGTTTTCCTTCATCTACTAAAATGAAATATACAAAACTAACAACATAAATCACATCTCTAAACTACTAAGGCAATAAAACAGTCTGGCAAATTGAATTTTCCATTTCCTTAAATACTGGTTCAATCTGCAGAAATTTGTCAAGTTTATGAAGTAATTTGTCACACATTATAATCCTACTTCCCTTATGCATATATTCGTCATGATGAACAACAGAGATAATCAAGAGTAAAAACAGTGGTTTAGTATTATTATACAATTCATGATTTTTAGAGCTGCCCTTCCAACTATGTTGGTCTTAGTATAACATTATAATTATTTTTTAAATCCTTTGTTTTTGTGCAAACTAGAAGCAAAATGAGATAAGATTAGGTTGCAAATGATCAAGTAATGCAAAATCCACTGTGACTCCTCATAAAGTGAGGGTAGGCATCGGGATACAGTGCCTGACAAGCAACTGAGGTCAGCAACGCCCCTCTAAGAACATACTGTGATTTATGACTGGACATTGGCAAACCTCCCCGAACAAGCAACTGTAAGGAACAGGGCTCGAAGCGTTGTGGATAATGATCTAGCAGGGGTGTCCAACCCACAGCCCACAGGCCACATGTGGCCCAGGATGGCTATGAATGCAGTCCAACACAAAATCCTAAATTTACTTAAAACATTATGGGACTTTTTTGTGATTACGCGTCACAATGTATTTAATGTGTGGCCCAAGACAACTCTTCTCCTTCCATTCTGGGCTAGAGACCAAAAGGTTGGACACCTGTCTTGAGTCATTATTATCAAAGGAATGGCAGACACAACACTTCTGGCTGTGAGCCAGCAACATCTACACAGAGCGGTTTTATCTGACCCTGACAGTGGTTCTACAGACAGCGGGGTGCAAAGTCAGAAAGTAAGTGGCTGATGGTTCGGTAGCAATGGGGAAGTCAAGAGCTGAAGACATGTCATCTAACTCTAAATGTTAGTCTCTTTCCAAAAGCAGTTAAAACAGTATATGCCCGCATCAGTCCTGTCCGGTAGAATATTTTGCTCTTGCGGCAACGGGATAGATGTGCGCTATTCAGTGCAGTATAACT